AGAGAGAGAGAGAGAGAGAGAGAGATCACGCTTCCCTGACGACCCGCGCTGCCACAATTTGACATCTTCTGTACAGAGTTTCCAAGCGCTCATGGATATCAAGTCCTTTCCTGCAATATTCACAGTTTTTTTCCGCTCCATGACGGTCCGCATTCAGTAACACCGGTCCCATTATATCTTTGATATATGAAATTATATGCGAAAAACAGTCCACCACCAGCCTCGCCATTTGTCGAGAGTTTGCGTCAGCAACGAAATTTTCAAAAATTCCGTCGTCATAGGCATAACAGAAGATTCTGGTACAGCCGAAGGTGCTTTGCTGGCAAGCACGCAGGGGAAGTTGTGACGCACGTGGTGAGATTTCAGTGCGGCAACATCACTGCACGCAAACAGGACATGTGGCGCCGGCGCATCCTTCCCAAGAGTGGCCCCATTCCCCGAACACACTCCGATTGGTCTGTCAGGTTCCTCTCTTCCCTTCTTCGTTTCACCTTCTCCACATCCCATAACATCTCCTTCCGTACATGTCACCGTCAGTTCCCCAGCCAACATCCTGCCTCGAGTGTGTTGCAGGGCATCCATTACGTCGGAGCAACTGCTCAGCAGAGTCGCGATTTTTGGAGGAAGCTCGTCATTAACAGACCCGACACGCACTTCACTCAGAGCGTACTCGTCAACAATTTCCTTACAGTGGCGAATGCAGTCCTCGGCGAAGGCTAAGAGGTCAACGACGCTGCGTGTCATCGTAGGTAGCGAACCTGTGTTGTAATCTTGGGAATTGTACGATGCTCACCCCTCCTTGAGCACACACTTTCCGAAGTTGGCAAGACATATGACATCCCCTCCGTCTGATTCCCTGTTTGTTGTCTTCGTGACATGGGCGGAGAACCGCTTCAAGACGGCGGTGCGCCTTTCCCTTTCAATATCCAGCCATGCCTCAAACTCGTCGAACGTGGTGTTTTTCGTTTCAGCAATTGCCTGAAGTCTGGCTGACATGTCCTCCCTCAGACGAGTAACGTCTAGTATATCTTTCGGGTTGTCAAGCAACAACCAGAACATGGTGAACATCCTGTGCTCCGCGGTTTCCATCATTTCGTCGAGAAGCGACTTAACGTGGCGTAGTTCGTCTGACATCTCTCTAAGCAGTACTTTCTGCTTATGCACCGCCTATGTTAGCCTGCCTATATGTTCTCGGTTGCTAACTACAGTCCGACCCCTGTTTCGATCCGTTTCACGTGTATTATGGTCCTTGCCGCCTGGGGAAAGGAAGTCATCCATCCTTGCATGACACTCTCCGCCCAGCTTCCTTTTCTGCCCGGTCGTGGTGAACATTGAGATCTGGAGAGCAGTGTATATACAGACAAATATGTGGACACAGCAAGAGAGAGAGAGAGAGAGAGAGAGAGAGAGAGAGAGAGAGAGAGGGAGCCTCACTGCTTCCGTACAATGGCGCCAACAGTAGTACGTACAACTCAACATGGCGGACCCTTTTTTCGAAACGCAAGCGTCAAAACCAGGAATTAAGCAAGACATCAACGCCAGAACGCATGCAAGTAAACACATATAAACCGGACGCGACAGGGACACAGAGAGACAGCCCTATTCCGGACGCAGAGATAGACCCGGAAGCCACGAACAAAGAAACTCACGCACGGTCACCCATTCTGATGTTGACCGAAGTTGGCTACTGCGGGC